CAGTGGTCATCCAGACCGCGAAGCTCCTCCCACCCCTCCCGACACCCTCCACAGAGGGATGGGTTGGTTGGGTTGGTGACCAGGCACTTCTCCAGCTCCAGCGCTTCCTGCTTGAGCTGCTCTTGAACCACCTCCCTCTGCCGGGTGTGCTCCTGGCTGGAGCTGTGGCAAAAGAGCCAGGTGTGCACCTTCCCCACATCCCACCATCTCTAAGCTGAGGCGAAAGCTGCCCGTTGCAGCTGCCAGACCAGGCAGAACTCCAAGAAGGCCTTCCTGTAGCCCACATCCTCCAGCAGATTGACACTGAATACCAGTAGGCTGACCCGGATGCCCAGGCCCCAGCATGGCCTGGGCCCAGACAAGGTGGTGATTGCTGAAGGGAGTAGGCTGGACACCGGAGACCACCAGGGAGTACTCCATCAGGCTCTCCCCAAGGATGCCCATGGTGGCCTGGTTCTGCTCCCTACTTGACCAGTCCCACAGGTCCAGGGTTACGTTAAAGTCGCCTCTAAGGACCAGGCACTCGCAAGGGTTGAAGGTGTTGATATAAGTGGCTGCCTGGCAGAAGAAGTCTGCCAACTCTGGGTCCTTCTCAGGGATATACACATTCAGAAGGTTCAGGACTAGCCCCTGCACTTGGACCTTGAGGTGCAGCAGGTAGCCTGGCACTACCTCAACATCCTGGATAACCTCTGGTTGCAGGCCTAGGGAGAACAACCCTATAAGAGGTGGCCAAAAGGTGACTAAACAAGACCCTGCCTCCCCACTTGAGTTTCCAGTTAGGCTCATCGGATGGAATTTTCAGGGTCTCCTGCAAGAATACCATGGGGTACCCCTCCTTATGAAGAAAGGAGAGCACCTGGCATCTCTGGAGACCCTTCCTGCAGCCTTGGACGTTGAGGGTCACGATCTTAAACAATCTCATGGCTGGGGGTGTGAAGTAAACAGTATGGCAGGTGCCTCGCACACCTCAACAACCAGTGTGGGGCACGCCGGCTCATGCAGCATCCTCCCATAAGCATAGAGGGTGTCTAGGAAACTGTGAGCCTGACTATAAATCTGGGTGTTGCAGATCTTGGGCCCCTTGCCTTCTCCCGTCAATGCCCTCACAGTGGCAAGGATGCTGTCAAAATCTCTCCAGCAGTACAAGGTGAGCTGCATCTTGCTGGCAGACCGCCAGGTATACTCACAGTCAAGAAATGCAAGTAGCTTGCCCCTGGGGATCGCAGGGATCAAGAGGTCCACAGGCTCCACAGAGCCTGCCGGTTCTTGGGCATCCTCCTCCCGGTCCTGGGGCTCAGCAGGCTCCTTAGGCACTGTCTGAACCCCCTAGTCCACTAAGACCCCAAACTCTGTCATTCAGGGGACCCCACCTTGACCCCCTCTGGGGTGGGCTAGTGGCAAGGCTTTCCTGGAAGGGAGGTGGAGGAGACCCATCAGGCACTGGGGTGGCATCGGTGTCTGCTTTGGGGTCCTGGGAGAGAGGATCTTCCCCGTCAGGACTCACCAGAGTGAACCCCAGGGCCCCCACCTCTCCCAGATCATTGGAGGGGGAGGGCTTTGCTACCAGACCTACCATTGGGTCAGCCTCAGTGCTCATGGTCTCAGGGGGCAGGTCCTGGCTAGCGGAGTGGGGGTTCCCCACCATGGGCTCCTGCTTGGGACTGGCCAGTAGCCTCAAAGCCCCCTCCACTGGGATTACCCATTTGAGCTTTTCTTGGGGTGGGGTGTTGGGTGCATCAGGGGAGGTCTCTGGAAGCTGAGCTGCTCTTTTTCCCCATGTGGTGGTCTTGGGAGGCGGAGGGGGGTCCTCCACTTCAAAGGGCTCCAGCTGTGTCTGGGCCTTCCATTTGGCTTTGTGCCCAGAAGGGACCTGCACCCACTCAGCCATGAGGTGGTCCTTGGGTGGACAAACTCCAGCAGAAGAAGGTAGGGGTTGGGGGAGTGGGGCAATTGCAGTGGGGACTTGGCTGGGGGGGGCTACTCCCTCTCTCCCCTCAGCTGCTGCCTTCCTCCCTGGGACCCAAATTTCATTGGGGGCCAGGGTCCCGAGCTCACAGGGGGGGCTAGGCGTTGTGGCTGGGGTGCCAGGGGGGCCTGAGGGCGGAGGGGCGCCAGTGGGACCTGCAGGTGTCCTCCCCACCTGGCTCATGGGGCACTTGTGATGTAGGTGCCCTGGGGCATGGCACTGAAAAACCACAGGTCTCCCAGTGTATAAAACAACCTCACCAGGGCTCCCTGAAAAGGAATCACAAGGCACACCATGGCCTCCAGCCTTACTCCCGCCGACAGCTGAATCATGACCTGGCAGCAGAATGAGTGCACATGGCAGAGGCCGGGGTCTTGGCACCCCAATGAGAGGGCCACCACCAGGGAGATAACCCTTCCCAGGGTTTGGAGCTGGAGGAGCAGGGCCCAACTAGAGATATAGGGTGGGATGGAGCTACCCTGGTACCCAGCTCTTCTAGGGGCTTGAGGGGGATATATTTTTCCTCCACCACAAGCCCCTTCTCCACTGCCTTTTCTGCGGCAGCCTCCAAAGCAAGGCAAAAAAACCCCTTGCCATGAAAGCAGGAGACTGTTATGATCTTGGGGGCCCCCACCACCTGAGCCAGGGACTGCACCCAGATCTCAAAGTACAGGTTCACCCACTCAGGTAGTTTGCACTTCACCCCCGTGCCTGTGGGTGAGTGCCGGAAAGGGGGCCCTGCTGCCCAAGCTGGAAGGTCCGGCAGTGGAGGGTCCAGGCCCTGTGGCTATGAGTTGCCCCACAGCCACCTGTGCATAGCTGTGGTTCCCCTACCGGGGGGGCTGGCTTAGTGGGGCAAGAGCTAGGGACAGGCTGAGTGGGTGTGCTGGCTGGCATAGCGCACCTGGTCCCCTCAGGTGCCAGTGGTCTAGGCTTGGGGGTGGGGCCCTTGCCCTTCCCACCCCCAGTTGAGGAGGAGCCCTTCCCACTGTCCTTGCCCTGGGTCCCTGATGGTGGCGGGGCCTGCCAGGGGAGACCCCTTGGCCCTGGTGGTTTCCCGTTAGAGTCCCGCTTGCCCCCACAGTGGGGGTTACAGGCTTGTCTACCCACAGAGGGTGGGAGTTGTAGGGACATGAGGCCCCACAGGGGCATGGCTGCAATTTGTCCCTATAGTGGGGGCTGCAGGAAGTTCTGTGGGGACATCTGGTCCCCCAGAAGGCTTCTGCCCTGCCATTATTTCACATGAGGGAGAGGGAAACCAATAAAGAAGAACAAAAAATACAGCAGGGCTGGTGAATCCAATAGGGACAGGCTAGGGCTGTGGGGGGGAGGGGAAAGGGGCTGAAGCTCAATGAGCTACAGCCCCACAGGAAACAAGGTGGGCTATGCCTAGGGAAGGGGAGGGGAGGGGAACACACACACAAGGGCTAGGGAGACTCGAGCTGGCTTACTCAGCCACATAACAAACACCAGGGCAGGGGGTGTGGATCACAGAACTTACCACACAAGGGCAAAACACACAAGGGAAGCTGCTGAGGCAGGTATAAAAAGACAGCTGGAGCAGCAGAGGGCCTTCATTTGTTGAAGCTCAGTCCAGGAGCCCCTCAGTCCTCCAGCCAGGCACTCAGCAGCAGGACAGCAGGTAGGAAACAAAGTACAGGATCAGAGGCAGCTGTGAGGGAGTGCAGGAGCAATCCATTAGGGAAGTAATCTAGTGCAGGTGTGGTGCAGGGCGATGTGGCAGGGGGCAGCAGCAGAAGTGCTGGGAAGACTGTGGTGCTGCCACTGGCCCCAGCCTACAGTGGCAGTCTGCTGAAACCTGGCACATAGATCTGGGATCCCGCAGAGCTGGGGAAGAGCTGGGGACTTGAAACAGGAGCTGCGGAATCAAACCAGGGGCTGGGGAATCCCTGCCAGGCAACCTGGCTCCACAGGGAGCAGAGATCCATGCCGGGGTCTCCTCCCCACTGCTGCCTGCCCCGTGCAGCTCCAAATCTCTGCTCTTTGTGGAGCCAGGTCACGTGACAGGGACCAGCATAGATTTGGCCGAAATGAAACAGGACAGTGATCTAAAACATCAAAACGAATCACTGTCCTCCAAAATGACCAAATCGAAACACAGCCATTTTGCGCAGCCCTACTAGACAGGTGGGTGGGCCAACAATGGGACTGGCCTCGAGACAGCCCCCTGTCACAGTGGCTTAGAGATTCCTTTTATTCCCAATATACTGGGCATGTCTACACATTCAGTAATGCACAGTACCTACTGCACATTAGATTTAGCACTTGCAAAAGGAACTACTAAAATAAATGCACAGTAGGCTGCCCTACTGCGCGGTAGAGCAGTGGTGTGCTTTTTTTGTGACAGTTAATGCACAGTAGACTAATATTACCATGTGTTAGCATAATAGCACAGTTTTTGCCATGATGCTGTAATGCACAGTCAATCCGTCTACTGCACATTAAGTGTCTCATGTAGATGCTCCCACTGATACTTCTTACCTTGGTCATCAGTTTTTCTTTCTGTCCTCCTGCTTCTCTTATTTATTTTCTACAATTCCTAACTTCTCATTTATATTTATTACTACAATTTTCTCCTTTTTTACATTTGTTATATATGGATTTTGTTAGAAACATCTTTAGAATTGCCTTCACTTCCCCTCTGGGCTACAGAGTGTTCCCCTTTAAGTATCAATACTATCATCTGTATATAGAATTGGTGCTAAGTAGCATGGCTGAGCTTAATCAATTATATTAGACCTTGAAATGCCAAGATTGGCAACCCAGCCAGAGCCTGTATATTAATATTTCTTGTCATTATCAAACTAAAGGAAATATTTTTGCAAAAGTTAGATGTTTGTCTGAACTAACTGAGGGCCCTCTGAGGCCCCACCATTTTTTCCATATATGCTTCTTATTCTCAGAGTTGATGTATCTGTTCTCTCCTCTCCTCTCCTCAGCTTTCTTTCTACCTGCTGAAACCAAATGCAGAGACATTATACTATAAAATGCAGACAAACATACTTCCTACCTGTATGCATCACATTGATACAGTGCCTCTAGTAGAGAAGGGATTCTGTATTCCTCTACTTCTTGACAAAATAGGGCCCATTCTCTGAAAAGTTTTATAAATAAACTGAAGTATGCAGTCAAATACAGTAGTCATCTTTAACAAATAATAGCCAATTTGTGAAATTGTTTAGGGTCATCTTTGCAGTAACTGGTAATGAAAAAGTGCTTTTCCTTAGGTAAGTCATTTTTTCTTTTTGATATTGGTACAGCAACACTTTAACACATGAAAAAAGATAGAGCAATATTTTTAAAATACTCACCAATTAGGATTAGAGTTTAGGAGGAGAAGGGAGGGGCAGGGATGACATGGCAGTGTCTTAATTTGAATACCCAAAAAATGAAAAGTGAAAGCCTGAATCTATTAAAGTTAACAATAAAACTTTGGGTCTAATCAAGCCAAAACTTCTTCCCTCTATCTAAAACCCTTATCCCTAGTTATCTATTGTTACAAATTGTCTGCATTTATTTACATAAGCAAGAAAGGCTGCATAGCTTTTCTGCAAACTTTGACTCTCAGCCACAGGGTGGAGGAAGGAACACAGGCATGACTAGGGTAAACCCATTCTTTGAGGGCTTAAGCCACAGGCACTATCTCAATGGGTTTCACTCACCAAAACAAGGTATCGAGAGCAGGGGTTGGCAGCCAACAGCACATGGGCCAGACCTGACCTACCAAGCAATAAGATCACAAAGCTGGGACTTCAGTGTAGGGTACATATGCAAAACTTTTGCAGGGGATCATCATGGCTGGGGAGCAGTGGTGGTACTAGTGGCCAGGTAAGAAAGGGTAGCCCACCTTCAGAGCTAGCTCTGTTAAAATGACCCACTGCTCCATTTTGGTTGCGAATGCCTGGTCTAAAGTAAAA